TAGGACTTCAAAAGATCACAATTGAATTTGGCACGGATCTATAGAAAAGTCAAATCCCCCATCTATAAGATAAATTTTTTAAAGATTCGTGCTAAATTTAATGGTGATCATTTGGGATCCTACATACATGAGTATAGAAGGGTCTCATAGGATCATTATTATATATATACATGAGTATAGAAGGGCTTCATAGGATCATTATTATATATATATATATATATATATATATATCACAATTATTATTGTCCATCAAATTTTAAATTAGGTGGTTGTAAAAGTGTCATTAACTAGACTCAAAGTTTCAAAAGAAATTTTTCGAATTTTATGACACATCCCAAACTATCTAATTTAAAATCTAAAGGCTAGGAAAAATTGTGACATTGTATAAAATTTTGTACATAAACGTTCGTATTATACAATGGTCTATTGTATACTTTTCCTATATTGAAAATAGTTTATGTAAGTGCGAGGCTCTAAACAATAAAATTAGGGCATATTTCAAAAATTTCATTAAAAGAAATTATTATCAAATTGCTAATGTGGACTTCAAGATACATGGATATAAAAAAAAAAATGGATTTCAAAATTTGAAAATATTACATATTGTAATATATTTTTAAATTTTAGAATTAACTATAAAAATATATTTTAAAACCATCACAAACATTTCCAGCATTGAAACCACATTCTTTTACGCTATTTGAAGGGGCATTTTACTTTGATTGTTTAGAGCCTCGGCTCTATATATTATATCGTGCACTGGTTTACCAGACGTACTGTGCGCCTGGTCCCGTTTTTCCGTTTGATTTTAAAGGGCCAGCTCCTCCGATCAATGCTCACTCTCTCTCTCTCTCTCTCTCTCTTTCCATTTGGCGTTTTTCCAAGTTTCGGCTCATGGCATCGCCTTCCCTCTCTCTGTTTTCGAGGGCTAGGGGTCCATTATCTGTCTTTGTATTCTTTTGAGGACTAGGTTTTCACTCTCTCTCTTCTATCTTTGTTTTTGAGGGCTAGGGTTTCATTGCCATTCCCCACCCATGTTCAGGCTTTGTTGATTTTGTTTGTTTTTCCCACCATTTTCAGAAGAAGTGATCAAATCCGATAAGCCGGGAAAGGAAGAAGGATGCCATTGTTCTTGTCTGATGAGGAGCTCCGCCGTTTGGCAGGTGATGGGATGGCGGTGGCGGAGAGAGCGGATGCTTTCATCCGCGAGTTGCAAGCTGGCTTCCATGCTCAGATGGATGCGGGCGCCAGCAGTGCCGAGGAGAGCTACGCCCTCGTCGAGCAGAAGTTTGTGTCTCTCTCTTCCCGCTCCTCTGAATTGGAAGCCCGCAATGCCCGCCTCACGTCCACCCTTGACGAGCGCACCGCCGAAATAGCAAAGCTTCAGGCTGAAACCCATCAGCTCCAAGTCAAGGCGGTATGCTCTCTCTCTTTCTCTCTCTCTCCTCNNNNTCTGCTCTCTCGCTC